CCAGTCTGCAGACGTTGACACTCACATGCTGGTTGTCCTCTATCTCCTGCAGGGCCTTGATCTCCCTCAGAGCCTGGTTGGGGATGCCGTCCTCCAGCCTCCTCAGAGCCACTTTCTTCAGAGCCACCGTCTCTCCTGTCTGATGCATGAATATATGAGTAACATGGAGGTTAGTGTGATGGTCTACACTGTGTTTGAGCCTGTTAACAGTCATTAAACCTCAGCTCACCTCGATGTGTTTGGCCTTGAACACGATGCCATGAGCTCCTTCACCGATCCGACCCAGAATACTGTACTGCTCCATGTTCATGAACTCAGTGTGTCTGCATTGTGACCGCGGGTTTAGTCTTCTGAGGCAATATTTCCTTTAACTTCAGTCAGTTTGTTCTTCCACAGCTGTTCATGCTGTAGCTTAAAAACAGACATTTCTCAGATGACTTTTTGTTCTATTAAATTAAAAAGCATGAAATGTAAAAGTGTTGCGCTCACGACGAAACTAAAAACAACCAGTCTGGATCTTAGTTGTAGCTTCCAGCTGACCAGTAGAGGCAGGAAAAGCGACGCACACGCTAACCACGAAGTCCGTTCATAAATGAACCTCTTCAGGACGTTCCGCGTCTCGCCTCACTAACAAATACAGATACTTACGATTTGCTTAAATCCTGTACATCTAAAAACGATGTGCTTTAATTCGGCGTGTAAGACAAACCACGTGCTCTGAGGAAAAATCTGCTGTTATGAAAGAAATCCACCGCTTCGGTAGTGAGCTAGCTAAACTGTTGACTACCGTTGCCTTGGTAACAGCTAACTGAGCTAGCTCGGCTAAAACATCAAATTCAACGTTTTCTCGCGTTAAACTGCTGCTGTTCACGAGACTCTCGCGACCGACAGAGAGTAAAGAAACGAGTAGCTGCTTATTTATTTTAATGCATTTTTTTTTTTTTTTTTTGCATGGAAGACGGTTTAAAAGATGCTTTACGCTAAACTAGCGAACTACAGAGCCGCCATGTTTGTTCACTGTGACGTCATCGAACCGGCCGAACCACAGAAGCAGAGCAGGTAGAAGAGACTCACCTGAGAGAACATAAACAGGTAACATGTTGGATATTACGCAAAATATAACACAAACATGAAAGATCTTTAAGATAACAGTGATGTTTCGATATTTAGAATAACAGTAGTATTTTATTATTTGACACAAACATATTTTAAAATTTAAATTTTAAAACATAGCATGGAGACGTGAGGCATTAAGGTGATAGTAATATTTTACATATTTAAAACGACAGTAAAATCTAAGATATTTGACATAACACGAACATTTAAAGTGACTCAAGGACAACAAATACAGACACATAGTTGACCATAATTTTAAAATATAGCACAATAAATAAAATTTAATTTAATTGAGAATACACTTGTAATTGCAACTTAACAAATAAATACAAACGTGAAAATACACAGAAAATATAAACGCTATACCAATATCACTGCTGCACACAGAAACTTTAGTTGACACGTTTTATGAATTTTAATTTAATTTTTTCAAATTTTGTCTTAATTATATATATATATATATATATATATATATATATATATATATATATATATAAATAACAGAAATGTGTGCAGAGAAAACAGACACAGATCCTGAATTAAATAAAATACTAAACACTGGTCATCATGTTTCCCTCCTGTTGAGTTTTTTAAAAATGGTCGAAAGTCGTCTTTTCTATTCGCTTCAACTCTGTCCTTACTTCCGCTCGAATCCCGGAAATGCTTGTTGTTCTTCCGGAACAGCTCTGTTTACATCCGGTGTTAGTATGCTAACGTGCTAACGCCGCCATCCGGGCAGGCTGCGGAGCGGTAACGGCGCAGGAACCTCACGGTGACCGGCGGTGCGGGATTCTGGAGGAGACCGCTGGAGCTCGTCTTTATCACCGCTGGAAACTGGTCTGATTGTTGTCCGCATTTTAAACCGGAAACCCGCAGCGATGTCTCCGCCTGCTGATGCTAATGCTAATGCTAACGTGGGGCAGAAGGTTGTTCAGTACGAAAACTTCATCAACGAAGTTCTGAAGAGAGACTTACAGTAAGATCCCCTCAGTTAGACCCACACAGCACAGTTTCACCACAGTCTAAGAAACCAAACGTCTCATTTCTGTGACAGTCTCCACGTTAATCCCGCTCTGCGTGTTAATTTTATCTGAGTGAAATAAGCAAAGCATGTTTTTATCCCTGGGATCGTGTTGTGGAGCTTTTAACAGGCTGCTCATCAGTCATAAACTTGGCCAGAGGTTTTAATTCTCACAGTTCTCGTATTAATTTGTGTTAATTTCCTCTCAAGCTGTTTGTTTTCATGTCACTGATTCAAACACAGCGTTTGACCAGAACTCTGTCTTTACCAGTGAGCAGCAGGACGTGAACTGTTTCAGCGTTTTAGTCACCGGCTTGTTGCTCTGTCGGGTTTTTATTTGATTCTCTCTTTTTAAAAACTCATCATTTTATCTTTCATTTCACTAATGTTAGTTTAATGTTAATATTTACTTTCAGAAATGTTCCATGTTAGTTTTTTATTTTTTTTATTTTAGAATATTATTTTTCAGACATTCTCCAGATTTTTTATTCATATTTTAGATCATGTTTGTAAGCCTGGTTGTTGTGTGGGACAGGAAGGTGTTGGAGCAGAGAGACGGCGTTTATGAGAAGATCTCTCAGTACCTGCAGCTGAAGAACACCGTCCAGAGCCTGCAGGTAGGAACACCACCAGGCTCGTCTGCAGCGCTTCATTTTCTGGGACATTTTCTAAACCTTTTATTCAAGTTTTCATCTATTTTATTAATATTTCTAATTGTGTTATTGGTCTTTTTTGTGTTGTAAACAGTTTGTTAAGACTTGTTATTATTTGTTTTTTTACATTAAAAAAAAAAATCAACATTATATATTTTATTTATTCAGACATATTATTCCTTTTTTATTAATTTATTTTTTAATTCTTAGGACATGTTACAAATATTTTATTAATCTTCTTCAGACATATTAATATTAAATATTTTATCAAAAATTGGGGCATTTACTAAATATTTATTTAGAGATATTGGATATTTTATGAATATTTTTCAAAGCTGATGTTCTGATATTTTACAGTTTTTTAAAAATACAAGTCAGGGATATTTTATGAATATTTTTCAGGAATCTTGTTCATGTGTTGTTTCCACATGTAGTAAATAATGAAATGAAATGAAATGAAATGAAGGAGAAAAAAAAACTTTATTTTTCCCAGAAGGGAAATTCAATTATAGTTAAAATTATAAATTCAAAATAATCCTGTTATAAAATATATATTTTTAGAAATTACTTTTTTTGTACATTGTTGTTAAAACATTAATTAATATTTTTTTGTATTTTATTGATATTTAGTTACTAATGTTTGATCATTTTAATAATGTTTTTTGTTACTTTATTAATATTCTTCATGCACATTGTGGCTCGTTGGGAACGTTTCATGAATCTTTATTTTTGTGTTTCTTTTGTGTATTTTATTTTATTGTTCTTCAGACGGGTTAGTCGTAGTTTTGAGTATTTTTATTCATAATTTTCAGACATTTATTGATTATTTTTTCAGACACACAATCAGAATATGTCTGCTAAGTTAAGTTTGAGAGATTATTTACGTCGTCGACTTCATCCGTCGGCGTCGCCGTGTTTCAGTGATGTCACCGTGATGTCACCATGTGTCTGCAGGAGGCGGAGTCTCAGCAGCTGAAGACGGACGTCGATCTCGGCTGTAATTTCTACGTTCAGGCCGAAGTGTGAGTCCAGTTTCTTTGACATGAAGCAGCGAGAATGGAATCCGTCTGAGACTCTGATGTTTGTGTGAAACTTTTCCCTCGACAGCGACGACTCGTCCAGGATCTTTGTCGCCGTCGGCTTCGGTTTCTTTGTAGAAATGACGCACGACGAAGCTCTGCGGTTCATCGACAAGAAGACGAGTCAGCTCACAGCGTCAGTAACCAACACCGAGATTTTAATTCTTTCCTTCTTCTAATATTTCTTTAATGTCTTAACAATGTTTTTCAAAGATTTTCCTTTTTTTCAGGTATTTCAAAGATTTTGGGACATTTTTCAGATATTGTTTTAATATTTTATTGTTATTATTTGAAAGTGAAGTGAGAGAAAACGTCCTCTGACTGTTTTAGTTGAAAGTTAGCTTGATGCTAGCTGTGCGCATTGTTTCAAATGAGGGATGCTAACCGTGCTAACATCGCATTTGTGTTTCAGCTTCACAGAGCAGCTCACCAAAGACTCCGCCAAAATAAAAGCCAATATCCGCATGGTGCTGGAGGTCAGTGTGTTTAATCTCCATCCCATAATACACACGTGTAATATCTGCACTTCTGAGGAGCTTCAAGCTTGTTTATGTAACTGATGAATCTACAATTATCTTTTCAATCATTGTTTTGTCTTTTGAATGTCGGTAAATACGAAACCGATAATCAATAATCAATATCATCAGCAGGATGGTTTTCTCTTTAATGGTAAATTCACTCCTAAATCCGTTCTGTATGCTGTCTGTGTGGATGTTTCTGTGTTACTTCTTTTATTCATGCGTTTTTTACTTCACAGATATTTCTCAGACTTGTTACTGACAGTTTTTTGGAGGTGGTTGTTTTTTTTTTTTTTTACATTTCTCTCTATTTTTGAAAAATTCTTGATCTTTGCAGGACTTATTGAGTTACTGAGCCTCGTCTTCTGCTAATTTAAAAAAATATTTCAATGTATTTGTACATCTGTTTCGATCAGTCGATTGATTTTAATGAATCTGCAGCATCTTGATTTTATGAGCAGCAAAATAAAAAGCTGCTGCTGGCGTCTCCCAGGATTCGTCACGTTTTCACTGTTTTCTGTCGTTTTATGAACAAAACGGTTTTTAAAAAAATTGTCAGACTGCCTCAGAGCCGGAGGAATCTGACCGGCTGCTCTTCTTCTTCTTCTTCTTCTTCTGTCCAGGGTCTGAGGGAGCTGCAGGGTCTGAGCGACCCGCCCGACGAAACAGGAAGAGACGTTTTCTAGACGTTCCATGAAATCATCACAATCGAGTCTCGCTTCTGGGAGTTACTTTGGAAGTTTATTGAATTTGCACAACAAGACGAAGAGTCAGAACTTCTGACACACGTCTGCTCAGATTCATTGTGACTTCCTGTTCCTGATGATGTCACTTCCTCTGGCGTCCATCACAATAAAGCTCCGTTCAGAAGACCAGAGGATCCATCTGATTGGAGGTTCTCTGCGGCGTCGCGGTTTGTCTGAACATCCTGATGCTCTGCAGACAGAAGCTGCTCCCACATCAGCTCTAGCGTCAAATAAATCAGATCTAACGTCAAATAAATGAGATCTAACGTCAGGCTGCAGCCGAAGCAGCGTCTCGTTAACGTCGTCAATCTGCTGCTTTCTGCTTCTTCTCGTAGGTTTTGCTGTTCCTGTGTGTATTTTGTAAAAACATCAGAAAAGTAATAAAATAAACATTTTATTGCAACACAATTAATCTTTTTTTATTTTTTTAAAATTTATGATGGAACTGAAATCACAAACATTTTAAAGATGTATGTTTTTTATTGTTCATTTTTAAGTGTCTGATATTTTTTATTCAGGATTTTTGAGGCAAAATCTTTTATTGATATTTAACTAAATTTTTTCCAGGTTTCTTTCAACGTAATAAATAAACTTTTCATCTCATATGTTTTAGCATTTTATTGTTTTTTTTTTACATGTAATTAGAGACTTTCAGAGTTTTTGCTGGCATTTTTAGAAGTTTAAAGATTTTATAACTTTTATATTTTCATATTTTTTTATTTCAGGATTTGTCTCGTCTCAATGTTTCTCACTGATGTTCTCAAGCTTTTACATAATTTTTTACTCATATTTGATGCTTTATGTGGGTTAAACAGGTGAAATGATTTATTTCCAGATGATGATCAATCCTTCACTTATCAGAGATCTTTTGCCACTAATCTGAAAACAAGTTGTTTTTTTCCTCTGAGGAGTTGAACGTTTGAGGTGCCGATCAGACGTCCTCACACTTCTGGATCTGACGATGAAGACGAAGCAACGTTCGACCGTCGGCTCGGCTGCTCTCAGAGATGCTCCTTGTCGTCGCGGAACCTGTTGCCATGGAAACTGGATGCTGAATAGAAACAGCGGCGCGAAGAAGCTGAGAGACGACTCTGGAAATAGACTCAGAAAAAAGAAAAACCGCTTCTGTGTTTGAGTCGGAGCGCAGATGAATTTTCACGAAGAGGAAACGTGACTCTGATTTGGAGAGATTTGATTTGACATGACGTCGACTCAGAGACCAAACGACGGAGCGCTGATCAGGAAATCACCAAACTTCTACAAATGATGCTGCAGTTTGAGATTTATTCCTTTGGAGCTCTTCTGGTCGTCACCAATTAAAGATGAAACCTTTACATTTTATACAAATATTTATAAGCATTTTTGTGCATTTACAAATATTTTGTATTTAACTTATTTTTGTATTTTAATTATTATTCTTAATTATTGTTTTATTTTCTCACAATTTTCATTAAGTTGCTGATCACTTTGGAAATTTTACAAATATTTTCTGGATATTTTTCTGTTTTTATTTTAATATTTCACAGAGTAAAAAACTTTCCGTATTTAAAAAAAAAAGTTTTACACTTTTTCTTGACATTTAACTATTTTATATTTAAAACATGTGACTCGTATCCTAAATATGTGTTCGGATATTTTTCCAGGTTTTAAGAAATATTTTATCATTTGTCTTGACATTTAACTTATTTAATATATTTTTATTAAATATTTTATCTTTTATATTTACTGATATTTGTGGATATTTTTCAGACAATTTTCAGATTTTTAAAAAACATTTTACCACCTTTTCTTAACATTTAACTGACACTGCAGGAGGGTTCTCTGCTCTGGTTTCTGGGTTCTGGGTTCTGGGTTTTGGGTTCTCTGCTCTGGGTTCTGGGTTCTGGGTTCTGGTTTTTGGGTTCTGTGCTCTGGGTTCTGGGTTCTGGGTTCTCCACTGCAGAACCCTCTGAAACCACCAAGCAAACTTTTGAATATTCTTAAAGTTCTAAAGTTTCGAAGCCTTTTCATGTTACTTTAAATGTTCTACTTCATACTAAAGTAGCTTCAACTGGTTTTGTTGATCCTGCTTTTAATTTGACTTTTATGCTTAACGCCGAACCGTGTTTCTCTCTGAACCTTTTATTTTGAAAGAGCCGCCGGTTGCTCGGCGGCTCCTCGGCAGCGGACAGACGTGTGACGTCACCTCGCTGTTGCCGCAGAAACAGCGCACAGAGTCAAGTTTGACGCAGTTAGAGTGGGAACACACAGGAAATCAATCATTGTGACGGCTTTCCTTCAGAATAAAAGCGTGTCGCTTTAGCCATGTGCTCATAACGACTGATTTTGACTTTTCAAAACAAAAAGAAACGAGAAAAAAATTAAACAATAATCAGCTGATGAGCAGTTGCAGCTTCCACACTTTATCAAAGCGCTCTTATTTTATATATTTATTCATAAACATCATTTATATCAAAGCAGAGTGTTTATGTGTTTATAAAAATAAACAGAAAGTTGATTGTTTGTGAGATTTGATGATGAAACAGTTTTTCGGCCATTTACACAAACACAGTGACGTCATCGGTGTAATTCTGTTTGACTTCTTTCGGTCTCATCTCAAAATCATTTTATATAATAATACATTACAATACAAAATAAAATGCCAATTAAAACTGAATTTTAATCTATAATGTACATCAAACATTTTTATTTACATTTCAAATTAAAATTACATTTTCATTCAGTTACAGTAAAGTGCATATAAATGTAATTTACAGTATTTTAAAAAGTAAAATAAAATGTACATTTAGTATCAAATTCGATTGTTAAATAAAAAGTAGTTTCGATTTAGGATGTAAACTGGAATCGAATTTTAAATGAAAGCCTAAATTAAAATGTAATTTTAGTTTTACGTGCAAATAAAATGTAATTTAATTCCTTAACGTAAACGTACACTTAATTTGAAACCCGTGCCGGAAGCGCTGCTGTAAATGGCGGTAACTTGTCTGTGATGAAGTGTTGAGGAGGCGTTCGTCCAAACAGGAAGAAACTGGGAAAACACACCGTAAATCAGCCTCCAGACTCGGGGCGCAGCGGACAAAGAGCCGGTCGGATGCTCCGAACTACTTTTCCTCCGTGTCGGAGGCCCGCGGACGCTCTCCGGTGAACTCTGCGGCTCCGGTCCGCAGTCAGCGGCGCTGTTTGGGGGTTGACGCACCAGCAGGAGCGGAGGAAGGCGGGGGGGCTGTGACAGCAGCAGGCTAAGCTAGGCTAGGCTAGGCTAGCTGGCTAACAGCGGAAAACAGTGAACTTGTGTAAACTTGGTGAAATCAGCCGCCGTTGGTTCAAAGTGCCGCTCAGTACCGGAACCAGGACTAAAGTAACAACCTGTTAGCCTGGCAGCGCTAGCGGCTAGTTAGCAGCTAGTTAGCTCCCACCGACACTTTAAGCCGCAGGATGGACTTAAGTCCTGCTCGGTGCTAACACCAAGCTAATTATCGTCGTAATTAGCGCCGAGTTCGGAGCCCGTGGCGGCGGCGGATGGACTTTTAGCGGCGTCTTGGTGCTTTTTGTGCCGCGTCAACTTTTAACTTCCCGCCGTCGCCGTTAGCATGGAGGCAGCGGAGCCTGGCAGCGGCTCGGAGCGGTTACATAACGCCAGCAGGTCGGGAGACAAGCTGCCGAACGTCGCCTCCTCCTCCTCCTCAGCCTCCTCAGCGCGGCTCTGACAGCTGCAACCGGCCCCGACCACACGCACACACGCACGGACTCACAACCACAGCGACGAGCGGAGCGGTGCGGCGGCATGGAGGAGCTGTGAGCCCGCGGACCGACGCACGACGACGAGCAGCCGGAAGATGGAGTCCAACCCGCTGATCAACGGTGAGGCGCTGCGGGCGGTGCTGCTGTGTTTACCTGCTGCTCAGCCTGTTACTGTGTGTAACGGTGTGTGTGTGTGTGTTTACTGTGTGTGTTGCTGTGTTTACTCTATGTGTGTGTGTGTGTGTGTGTGTGCGCGTGAGACCGTGCGTGCTGCAGCGCTGCGTGTGTTTGTGTGCAGCAGCAGCAGCAGCAGCAGCGGCGGTGCAACAGGTGTGATGAAGCTCTGAGGCCTGCAGCTCTGTGTGTGTGTGTGTGTGTGTGTGTGTGTGTGTGTGTGCGTGTGTGTGCAGGTTGTGTCATGAAGCTCCTGGTTCGTTTGTTTTCCTGCAGCTTGTACAAACTTGAGTGTGCAGAAGGAGAACCGTCAGCGTGGTTCTGAACCAGTGGGTTCATTCAGAACCTGCAGCAGGTGTCTCTGATGTTTGACTCACGTGCGGCTGTTTTTCTCGTCATCGTGGCTTTTATTTTGATATTTCACTGCTTCCGTTTCTTCACAGCAGATTGCAGCTCTCACATGTTTCCTCCATGTTTTTTCTTTTTTAAATTTACAGACGCATTAAAACATGTTTTGCTTGTTTTATATTTCAGATTATTTTTACAGTTTTTAAAATTATTTTATGCTAATATTTATATTGGGGCTATTTTATTATTGCTATTGTTTTTTTTAATAATACATCGTTTTTGGCGATTTTAATATATTATTATATATTACACATGTCTTCATGTTTTTAATTTTAATATTGTACTTTACAGATTTTACATATATGTAATCAGTTGTTCTTGATATTTTATTTTTTGAAAATTCTACAAACATGTTAAAATATTTTTTTTTTTTGCCTTTTCGAAAAATATATTACAGATATTTATATTTTACATTTTTAAAATAATATTTTTTCTATCTCTTCTACTTGTTTTCCTCTTGGCGGGAGTATTTCTATTACACTGATATCTTATGAAGACTTTTAGGATGGCAAATTCATTTCCGTCATTTTCCACATGTTTAAATATATTTTGCTTTTTACTTTAATATATTTACATTTTCTTGTTTTCATTTTAATATTTTACATTTTCTTTTGAGAGCTGACTGCATTTATATTTTATTAACGGAAGTCAGTAGTTTTTTAAAATTCATGAAAGAAAGACTTCTTGGAACATCAACCACGTTGTATTCGGTTCTTCCGTGTCAGAGCTGGAAATGAGCGATAAAAGTTAAACCTGGTCCAGGTTTGGACCTGACGAACGTCCTAGAACTCAGGATTTGTGCCGAGTCGCACAGACCAGACTACACGTCGACTGGAACTGCAACTACGATGATTTCTATTATCAGTTAATCCGTCGGCCATCTTCTGGAGGAACCAATCAGCTGTTTGGTCGGTAAAATGTCAGGAAAAGCTGTAAGATCTGGATCAGATGTCGGCCAGTTTATTCTGGTAGTTCTGGTTTTATCAGTGTTTGTAGCGCTGCAGCTGACTGAGCTCATTTGTGGGTTAATCGGTGAGTTTTTGTCTGAAAATGGTGAAAAATTTGGATCAGAGTTTCCTCAAGTTTTGTCCAAAGACGTTCAGTTTACTGTCACAGAAAACGTTCCGACTGAAGGAGCTGAAACCAGAGTTCAGATGTTTTTATTCTAAAAGAAGAACCTAGACTGGTCATTAAAGCAGTTCGTTATCGACGACTCGTCATGAATCTACTGACGCATGTTTAATGAGTCTCCGTCCACACGACCTGCAGCTCATCCGACAAGTCTCAGCCGAGTCAGTCGTGGCTCCAACAAGTCTTTAGTTTTTAGTCTGTTTCATGCAAACAGTTTATTTTTAGTGAGTTTTTTTCAAGTAAACCTGCAGAATGAACTGATTCTGATTCGATCTGAACGTGATCAGTTCAGGAACCGTCAGAACGTCGGTTCTCTCTGGCTGATAAACGTCGTCGTTCTGGGGATGTGTTTCGAAGTTGACGTGTCTTTTAAACCTTTTTGGGGGAACTGGGCAGCACATGATGTCCATGTGACCAGGTGAGTTTTAAAAGCATTTGTTTATAACATCCGGCTGTCGGGTCTGAGACGCTCACAGAGACGCCTGAAAGTTTGAGTCTGGAAAAGTTTTGAATTTCCACCTGAACAATAAAGAATCCTGGAAGTCAGTGAAGGATGGCAGCAGGTCAGACCGTCGATAACGCCGGCACTTCTCCTTGTTGTTGTTGTTGTTGTTGTTGTTGTTGTTGTTGCTGCAGCCGGTCGTCACGGAGACGGTTTCAGGCTGCTATGGTGTAATATTCACAAGTTGCCGTGGCAACGCTGACGCATTGTGATGCGTGTGGAGCTGTGAGATGTGACATGATGGTGATGTGATGAGTCCTGATGAGACGCCGACCGCGACAGATGGAGAGTCACAGCAGTAATATCTGTAGTAATACCAGCAGTACTCTCTGCAGTACTCTCTACGGTACTCTGTAGTGTTTGGCTCAGCGACGTGAACAAAATCTCGACCCGCTGCGCCTCTTCACTGCTCTGATGATTGACAGACTGAATCTTGTGCCTCCAGTGGAGACAACAAAAGTTTCCTCCTTCACAACGAGACGCCTTCAGAGCAGCTCCAGCATCAGAGCAGCTCCAGCAGCAGAGCAGCTCCAGCATCAGAGCAGCTCCAGCAGCAGCTCCAGCATCACAGCAGCTCCAGCATCACAGCAGCTCCAGCAGCAGCTCCAGCATCACAGCAGCTCCAGCAT